GATGTCCAAGCTCCCCTCAGACAGTGCACGTCCACGCCGCCCGCGGCTGATGTCCACGCTCCACTCTGCCATGAATGAGGTTGGGAAGCTGCCCCAGCACCCTGCCATCTCAGCTCTCACCACTGCTCACCTCTCCGTTTACACCCCAACGGTCCTAAGCTGCTCTGGCGCCAGCCCGCACCCTAAGCCATGCTCTTACACCACCATGCCTCTGCCTGGAACTCCCTTCCCCTCAGCTCGCATGGCGCCCTGTGCCTCCTCTTGTTCCTGCAGATCTGCTGGTGCCAACCCAAGGCTCACCCCAACCCCGTCCCTCAGGGATCATGTGAGCCAGGAGAGGTAAACGGGGAAGGAGCTGACAGGCAGTGGCCCTGGGGAAGCTGGTTCTCGGGGAGCATAGGAAGGGGTGGAGGACTGCTCTCACTCTGTGGACTGCAGAGCACGCCACTGACTCCCTCGTGTGTGAGTAGAAACTTCCACGCTTCCCGTCACATCCACCATCTGATAGGTACTTCCCAAGCCCATGAAATAACCAGGGCCTGAGGGCCTTGCGACATCATGGGCAGAGATGTCAGGACAGGGATTTTCCTTTAAGATCCTCTGGAAACCAAAGTCCGTGGTCAGTATTTTTAAACCCTCCTAAGGAGAAACTCTGAAGGCCAAAGTATGCAAATCAGCAAGCCATCCTGGTGAGCCCTTCCGATTGGTCTGTGTGGAAGCACTGGGCAGGCCTGGCACGAGCTGGCTCCAGATAAAATTGTGCCATGCACCTGGGATGCGGGGCAGTGTTCAAAGTCCTCTCAGTAGGGAAGCACCAACTCCTCCCGCCTCCCCTCTGCTCAGCTATCACATGGCCATCGGGAACGAAGCTTCCACCAAGAGGAAAAGGGCCAGGGAGGCAAAAACGCAGGCCCGGATTTCTATAAGGTTTAACATTCAATTCAGCCCAGTCTAACTCGAGGAGGACTGACTCCTTGAGAAAAGGGAAATTCTTAAACCCCATTTCCTTCGTGGAAGTAGTACCCTGTGGGAAGAGGTACACTGTGGCTGAGAGTTCTCCCCGGTCTCGACCCTCTGTATCTCTCACCCATGTTGTTGCAGAGAAGGAAATCCACATCAAGTACTTTAATACTAGCTCAGCCTTGCTCCAAGTGTTGTCAATTCGGGTCATTCAGACACTTTCATATTTAGGGATTCTCAGTTGCTGTATTTGCTAAAAGGAGAATTCATAAAGGAATTTTAGTAAGAAACCTGGTCCACAAAGTGCTTTGGGATTCTCACACCTGAGTTACCAGCGGAAGGGGATTCAGTACAATAGTTAGGAACACCTCAGGCTCCAGAGACAGACAGATCTGGTTAAAGTCTGCCCCTACCATTTTCAAACATGCCACCCAAGCACATTACTTAGCTTTTCCAAGCCTCAGTTTTCCCCTCTGGGAAATGGGGAGATTAGTACCTTCCTCCCAGGGCTGCCGTGAGGAGTGAGAGGATGTGTACGAAGCGCCTAGCACAGAGCCTGCCAAAGAGCAAATGCTCGATAAATACTGGCTACATTTGCTATTATTAATATTTAGTAATGACGTCACTGATGTTCCTCCTCTTTGCTGAGGTCATGGTGGTCTGCTTCAAGCCAGATTCCCAATTATGCCCTCTCTCCCCCATCTCAAAAGTTCTTCTGTATGGACACACCCCAGCTGAAACCTGCCATTATGAAAATTTGCTGACATGTGCCAACGGACCATGTGTACCTGGGGACAGTGTAAAGGCACAGTGGGGTTTGGAATCACTGCTCAGGGCCATGGATTTACTCTAATCCCCTACGTTATCAGTCTGGCTCAAACACTGATAAAGTCCTCCCATGACAGCAAACGTAAAGACAGCCTGAGGTCCGCATGGAGGATTTTTATAGGAGAAAAACAAATTACACTTAAGAAAAGTGGCTTCAAACCATAAGAGACAAACTGAGGGTTGCTGGAGGGGAAGTGGGGGATGGGGGCCGGGGTAACTGGGTGATGGGCATGAAAGAGGGCACTTGATGAAATGAGCACTGCGTGTTATATGCAACTGATGAATCACTAAATTCCACCCCTGAAACAAACAATACAGTATATGTTAACTAAATTGAATTTAAGTTAAAAATTAAAAATTTAAAAAATTTAAAAATTTAAAATTTTTAAAATTGAAAAAAAAGTGCCTTCAAATCTGGATCCTTAGCATTAGTAATTCACTTCCAAATAACCTGGATTATACCAAGATGGCTTCCCTGGGCATACACCAAGCTTAAAAACTGGGTAAGTTTCTAGCATACATCTCATGATCGGAGGAGATTTAAATATACATTTTTCTCTTTTGCTGTTGTGGTGGGGTGGGGGTGGGGCGTCTCCTATGATGCCTTCCCTCCCACATGAGTTCTCCGGTGGGCACTGAAGTGGGAGCTATTGTTGAAGTCTTTCCCACACTCCATGCACTTGTAGGGTTTCTCCCCAGTGTGGATTCTCTGGTGAATAATCAGACTAGAGCTCTGGTTAAAACACTTCCCACACACTCTGCACTTATAAGGCTTCTCTCCCGTGTGAATCCGCTGGTGAGTGATAAGGTTGGAACGATCACGGAAGAACTTCCCACACTCGAGGCATTTGTAGGGCTTCTCTCCCGTGTGCACTCTCTGGTGTGTGACGAGCTTAGAGCGCTCACTGAAGCTCTTCCCACAGTCCACACACTTGTACGGCTTCTCCCCGGTGTGGGTTCGCTGGTGGTTAGCCAGCGTGGAGCTCTTACTGAAGCTTTTCCCACATTCAGCACATTCATATGGTTTCTCTCCCGTATGGATTCTTTGGTGGCTAATGAGGGCAGAGCTCTTAGAGAAGGTTCTTCCACAGTCAGAACACTGGTAAAGGTTTTTCCCTGAGTTGGTGCTGTGTGGGCCAGAATTCAAGTTCTTACTGGCACTCTGAGGTTGTTCAAGAGATGTCTCTTCTGTAGAGTTCCTGCAGTGAGCACTGAAGGATGAGCTTGGGCCCAAGTTTTCCCCAGGCTCACTGCAATGGTCAGGATTGCCTCCCAAGTGAATTCTCTGATGTTTCAGGAGGTTTGAGCTCTGGTTGAAACTTTTCCAACATTCCCCACATTTATAGGGCTTTTCCCCTGTGTGGATTCTCTGGTGGGTGACAAGATTGGAGTGATCACTAAAGCTCTTTCCACATTCAAGGCATTTGTAGGGCTTCTCTCCAGTGTGGATTCTCTGATGGGTATTGAGGTTGGAGCGGTCACTAAAGCTCTTCCCACATGCAAGGCATTTGTAGGGCTTCTCACCTGTGTGGATCCGCTGGTGGGTGATGAAGTGGGAGCTCCGATTGAAGCTCTTCACACATGTATCACACTTGTAGGGTTTCTCTGCCAAGTACAGGCCTTGATGGTCGATAAGTTTTTCTAAGTCCTCTTCAGAAGAACATTCTTCCCACTGCTCCTGGGGGGTGTTTCCCCAGTGCCCTTCACCTTCACCTTCATTTTCACTGTCTTGCCCCCAGTCAGGAGGGTGGCAAACATCCTCTCTAGTACATTCTGATAAGGCTCCAGGCAGATCCTCAAAAATATCCTGCTCCAAAATCTGGTCTTCATCCTTATGCCTCATCTCAAACCCTAAAACAGACAGAAATGCAGTTTTTCTTCATTCATTAGTTAACATCTATTTATGGACCTTGTGTCTTGTGAATTTAACATGAATTTATATCACATACTTTCTGTTCACATCTTGTAATATGACTAACATGAAACTGATCAACTTTTGGTGCATATGTAAATTTCTGACCTGCAAAGCAGAAAGCGGAGCCTGGAACATGGTGACCCCACCAACAGAGTCATGAGGCCCAGGCCATGCAGCCAGCTCGTCGGTCTCTGGCCAACTCCCCCATCCCTCTACTCAATACCGAACACTTCCTTCTTCTAGCACATTCCAAATAGTCTGCATCATGGGAAATTGAATAAACTCTAATTTCCAAGATAAATCCCAGTAAAATCTGGACCTGACTGCTTATCTCATTTGGGGGATTACACAAAGCTAGAGACTGAATCATCTGAGCAAATCACAAATGCTTTTCCTATTCATTTCCATTCTCTCTTATAGTTCAGAGACAAACAAGAAATGAGCTGGCCCCCTTGCTCTCCCTGCATGCTTCTGGATTTTGTGGGCATCAAATTACTCCCAGCTTACCGGTGTCTGGGGTATTAGGACGTGGGACTGGAGATTTGATGGCATCTTCATCTGCCATCTCATCCCAGGCCTGCTGGTCATCAGCCTCGGTACTGCTCTGCCCGGACCTAGGGAGAACTGCTGCCTCCCTGAGGGTTCCCATGGCTCTGACAGCCGTCCGAGCCCTCATCAAGGAGTCCAGCTCCTCATAGAAGGGGCACGTCCCTGGTGGGTGGCTGCTCTTGGCTTTCCGGTAGCTTCGAAGGAGGTTTTTGAATCTGTAGCGACACTGCTCCAGGGTCCGCAGGAAGCCCTGTGCACAGAGCCGCTCTGCGATGGCCCGGTACACCTGGCTGTTCTGGTGACAGGTGCGAAGCTTTTCAGAGAATGGGGACTCACTGAGAATCGTCAGGAAGGCCTTGGTCTCCTCGTAGCCCCAGTGCACACCTGCTGTCAGGAGTGAAGAGTTCAGAACTGTGAGGCATAATGAGACGTGCCTCGGTCATCAGGGTTCAGGGTCCCCTGCCCCACCAAATGCCTAGAACACAGGTCCCTCAGAAATTTTCCTGGCACCCAGGGCCCCAGCAAAGACTATTCCCTTGCTTCTCAGAGGTATGCCACGGCCTCCCACCCCACCCTCTTCTAAGAGTTGCCATTAATTCTTGAGTCTTAGCTGAAGAGGACTTAGGTGGCCACATTATACCAGGTGACCCCACTCCTCTGGCTTCAGTTGACTGGTGTGGAGAAAGGCCTCAAGCTGGGACCCAAGAGACTTTCTCAATGTCCATGCCATACACATCCTCTATTTTATGAACTTTTCTCTTAACAAACATGGTAACTGAGAATCCCTAGACATAAATGGACTTCAAACAATCTTGCAATAGCATCCACCTGAGGATGCCCTTTCCTTTGGAGGAAAAGGTGGTGGTCTGTTCTCAGGTCCTCTGCAGGTAAATCACGCAGACCAAGCGGACAGCATGGTGGAGGGGAAAACCACATAAAACTGGAGACAGGAGATCTGGGCTCTGATCCTGACTCTGCCCCTACCTCACTGCGTATCTTTAGACAAGACACTTCATCTCTTGGGCTTCTGTGTTTCCACTTGTACAGTGATTGGGTGTTTCCCAAATGTCACGTGTTCAACTCTATACCATCATGATTTCTCTGACATGTTAAGTATCTCACTCAGTATCTTTCTTTACCTAAATTTACTGTCTGTGAAATCACCAGTCGATGTGCTCATTACACATTAAAATTAAAAGTTCACTCATAACACAATAACCATCCCCACACTCCTAGTGACACACTCTGGCAAACACAGCTAACCCTTGAACAACATGGGTTTGAACTGCACAGATCCACTAATACACAGATTTGGGTTTTTATATACAGCACAGTACTGTAAATGTATTTTCTCTTATGATTTTAATAAAATTTTTTTCTCTAGCTTACTTTATTGTAAGAATACAGTATATAATACATATATAAAGTAAGTATTATTTACGGTACTGGTAAGGCTTGTGGTCCACAGTATGCACTATTAGTTAAATTTGGGGGTAGTCAAAAGTTATACGTATATTTTCGACTGAGCAGAGGGTCAGTATCCTAACCCTGCATTGTTCAAGGCTCACCTGATACTGAATTAGCTCTTTAAGGTTCCTTAAGGTTTTAAAAGTTTGCTTTTATAGCTAAGAAAACTCATTTTAGGAAACTGATCATAGGCGGCAAGAGTAGGAGTTTGGGGACAACCAAAGAAACTTAACACCTTACTCCAGTGGCATCAATCTAGACTTGCAATCCAGTCTATGCCCTGAAGTCAGGGAGCAGAGGTTTGGCTGGCAGGAGAGTTGGAATCTGGATCCACGACACCCCCTTGTTCTTACCAATACGACTCTGGAACAGAGTTGGGCCCCCTTGAATCCTGGGCTCCTGGACGGACTCATCAGCGGCCAGGTCATCACCATTACAGTCTTCTGCTGTTTCCTCAGGCTCCCAGCCTCCTTCCTCCTGCTCATCCATCTCTGCATCGCTATCCCCCAGCCTGGGGAGTGCCATAGCCTCTCCTGGGCCCTCTGTGGCTCTGATGGCTGTCCGGGCCCTCACCAGGGCCTCCAGCTCCTCATAGAAGGGGCAGGTCCCTGGTGGGTGGCTGCTCTTGGCTTTCCGGTAATTCCGTAGGAGGTTTTTGACCCTGTAGCGACACTGCTCCAGGGTCCGCAGGAAGCCCCGAGCCCTCAGCCGCTCTGCAATGGCCCTGTACACCTGGCGGTTCTGGTGACAAGTCCGGAGCTTTTCAGAGAAAGGAGACTCACTCAAAATTGCCAGGAAAGTCTTGGTCTCCTCGTAGCCCCAGTGCACACCCGACACCTTCATGTCCTCCGTGTCCCACTGGTATGGCTCCTCCCAGGCCTTTGAGTCTCTCCAGGCCAATGACTGAGCTGGTCTTATTTGCTCATTACCTGGGTTGTAATCTGCACTGTTCCTTTTTCCGGAATTTACAAAGCTTGGATGCCAAAATTCTGGTCCTTGCTCTCCCTGGCAGTTGATACTTGGTTTTGAAACTGGGGGAACTCAAACAAAAGAAAGAAGAGAAATGATTAAGTAGAAATGATACACTGAGCAGAGCATTTGTCCAAAATGCCCCTGAAAGAGATCATTTCCCTGCATGAGGCTAATGAGAAATTCCCATGCCAATTCCCCACGTTAACTGACCTGTTTGCTTTCTTCACTTGCTTTCTTTGTTGTAGTTAGGAGACAATACACAGAGTGAGTGTTACTGGTCCACAGATGGGCACCTGGCCTAAACTGGCCCAACCAGAATGAATTTAATGGTTGGAGAAAAGGTTTTCCCCTCTCTCACTCATTTGCTCTGTGTGTGTGCTTGTCTGTGTCTCTTGCTAGGAAACTTGTGAGCTCAACTGACATTGGCATCTATCTTCGATTATGACACATGATACTCCAGTGCGAAGCAGACATTGAGGACGGCAGAGCAGAGAGAAAGAACCTAGGTCCACCATGACACTGCTGAGCCACTCTGCACTATGGCTAGAGCATGCCCTCCGCTCGACTTCCAAAAACGTGAGAAAATAATTTCCTTATTTTTTAAAACACTTAGCAGCTATGTGTAGAGGACTGCTGTCCCAACAGCTCCTAGCCCTAACAAAACAGGAAGCCTTTAATTAAAATAAATATCTGAAGAAAACTAGATCAGAAGCAGCTGAGAGCTACAAGAAACTTTAGGCTTACTTGGTTCAGCATTTCCCAGTTTGCTGTGAACACTACCTTACCCAGATACCATGGTTTATGTAAAAAAGGAGTTCTACTGTCAAGAAAGCTGCCAACAAGCTTCCCGTGTCTCCCCTTAGCTCCCCTGAGAGGCACACCTAGCACTATCTCCCACTTTATCCCCTTCTTGTGTCTAACCCCTCACACTGACCCCAGGCTCTGCAGGGAAATGGTTCATTTTTGTTTGGCTCCCCGGAGACGCGCCTACTGAGACAGGTGCAGGCCATGTGGGCTTCAAGTGCTTTGAGCCCTATGATGCTTACTTCTCACTGTGGTTTAGTACATCAGTCTCATGGGTTCAGCTCACTGGAGTCTGCCCCTGAGAGATGGACCCTGTTTGCTGCAGAAAGGACTGGGTTTCTGAGACAGCCTAGGACCGCCATGGTCAATGTACTGAGGAAATGAGCCCCAAGAGGGTAGGCTCTTGGAAGCCAACCGCCAGCCTCTCTATGCAGGCAGACCCCACGCCCCCCACTCCATCCCTGCCACCAGTGCTGGCCACAGAGAGCATGTCTTCTTCCTGTGTCTCAAGTGCCAGACTTCCTAGAGCCACAAGTCTTAAGGGAGCGACGAAACATTCTTCGGGAACTGAGTGTACCAGAAACCAGACAGGATCTTCCTGAGAGGGAACTATTTCCTTACCTAGGGGCACACCATTTCCACATCTGTCTCCCGGGGGGTCCTTGCAGAACTCCTTCCCGGCGTGTCTGCCAGGGCCCAGGGCTTCCTGTGAGATGTACAAGACAAGGATGGCAATTGAAAACAGCCTGGGAACCCTAGCAGACCCCAGGAAAGGTCACGGACACAGGGAAACCATGTGTGAGCAGCATGACTGAGGAGAGGCCCAGCAGACTGGAGGCCAGGAGCGGGGCAGCGGCTAACGCCCTCCAACACATGCCCTTCTGCTGAGGGCAGGCCACGGAGAGAGGGGAGGGACGCAGGGGCACAGGCCCAGGAGAAGTCAGGACAGGAAAGAAAGGACAAACAGCAGCTTACCTGGGACTCGGCTGTCACCTCCCAATCTCCAACACTCCCCATCTTCGGGAGAGTAGGGACTCGGGGAGTGAGCACAGCTGAGGAGAAGAAAAAGTCTCTGAAACCCAAGCTCTGGTTCCCAAAAACCATCCCCTCCCAGGTCCAGCTTTCCAAAGGCCATGCTTGCATCAAGCTGAGACTGCCTGGCTAGCCAGGTCAGATTTTCCCCTTTTACTTCCCTTCTGGAGTGTCTGGTTCCGAAGCAGGCCTGAGAGAGGGCTGTGTGTAAGATGCCAGCTCAAACTCCTATGATCACCAAATGGCCCCAAGCCAACCTGAACGTGCTGCGTGATTCAGCTCAGTGGGGCGTGCCAACATCGCTCAGAGCTTCCTCTTCTTGCACAATGTTCACCTGCCTTACCTCGCAGCGTGGCCATCAGACACCATTCTACCCCTTGCCTTGAATTCTTCACGTCCCTCCTCCCCGTGTGCCCTTCCTTACCCGCTCTAACCCTCTCCCCTCTTCCTTCCTTTTCCCTGATTCTTGGTACTCACCACTCTCTCTCAAGGGCTGTGGCACCATCTTGGTGTCTAGATGCTTGGGAAGGTCAGGACATGAATTCTTCACCCACTGCTTCTGGCACTGTGCCTCAGGCCAGTGATTCACTGGCTGCAGCTGACAACGCTGAGATTCTTGCACTGCCTTTAAGGACCTGGTCTCTTCTGCACACAAGTCCAATTCCTACACACAGACAGTCAAAATTCCCAATCATCAGTTCAATAAGACCAATTTTGCTAGGGCAGGGAATGCTCTTTTGAGTACAGCTGTGGTCCAGAAGTTCACAGGCTCATTTTAAGATTCAAAGATGACTATGTATGACAACAAAGCCATGAGACCGACATGAGTAAACAGACCAGCACTGATATCACCAAATGACTACTGTTTTGTTCAACACAGGGAGGCTATGCAAGTGTCTCAATGAGGCTGCTACTGTTCCAGACATTTTTGAATCATAAAGAGATAAATCATGTAACATGATTTTATGACATTAAAACATAATCTCTAGATGTCAAAAACAGGCAGTTTCATTTTTAAGGTATCAAAAAAAGATAAAAGTTAACCAGGTATCTGTCAAAAGATAAAAAGAGATATAACAATAACTTTAAATATAATTGCTCTAAATATTCCTGTTGCGAGGCAAGGAAAATTCAAAAATAAACATAAGAGAAAGGAGAGGCAAACAACTACAGATGGAATTTTAAAATGGAATAAAAGTACGTGCTGTTTGAGAGAGGTCCATCTACTCTTAAAACAGAAGGAGAAGCAGAGAGGAGGCACTGTAACTCAAAAGGAAAACAGAAGAGGTAATTTCGATTTCAATGCAGAAGTTCAGGCAGAAAAGCCCCTCAGAGACAGAGCACACATATATGAAATAAGAAGGAATAATCAATTAAGAGAGGACATTACCCAACACAGCATTATCAATCATAAAGCTCATTTCTTATCCGTCTGTCGGTTCCAAATTCAGAGATGGAGGTGGAGATGTTATTTGCCCGCCCTAAAACCCCAACAAGTAACAATCTCATTGCCTTACAGAAACTTTAAAAAATGTGTGTCAATGTCTTCATAGATATTTTCAATACTCAGGTGGTTTCAAAAATAGAAACTATGAAGGTCTAGTTAGTGAAAACAGCCCATCCCATCTGCCCAGTGTCTTCCTTCTCCCCACTCCTCCCCACAGGAAACCACTGCTCTGCATCCTTTCGGTTTCTGTATATATAAGCATCTATGAATACAGATTCTTATTTCTTCCCTATTTTTATATAAAACATAGCAATTATATACATTGCTCTGAACCTCATTTTTTGATTCAAAATAATAACATCCACCTTCATCAACTTAGTGAGTTTGTGAAACCTGTAACTCCAAAACTCTTTTGGCTGATCTGAAAACTCCAATCTTCTCCCCAAAACGGGGATGTTTATCCTTAAGATATATAGGACCGGGCCATAAGCATAAAAAGCCATTCCAGATGAGGCCGTCCACCAATGTAGTGTGTGGTTCACAGGGAGAAAACATCTGCTTACCGCCTTCTTCCGTGGCTGTTTCAGGAAAAACCAAATCAGCCTCTGTTTGTTACAGCCATAATGTTACCATCCGCAGAGAAACTGTGTGACTACGCTCCATAACAATCCTCACTCCCAGCCCGGGCTCCTCCAACTACTGCCACACCTAAGCAAAGATTCTGAGTCCACGGATGGCAATTGTAGACACAGAAAGAAGAAGATTCAAGTGACAAGGAGAAGGAAAGAATCAACAGAATACTAGTTGGGGTATGGATGAATAAAGAACCCACCAAAAATGCCTGTGCACCACACAAAAGCCTGCACATGGATGTTTACACAAAAGCGTACACATGGATGTTTATAGCAGTTTTACTCCTGATTGCCAAAACTTAGAAGCACCCAAGATGTCCTTCAGTAGGTGAATAAACTGCAGTACATCCAGATGATGGAATATTACTGTGCTAAAAAGAAATGAGTTATCAGGCCATGAAGACACATGGAGGAACTTTAAATGCATTACTCAGTGAAAGAAGCCAATCTGAAAAGGCCACATACATCCTGTATGATTCCAACTATGTGACACCTTGGAAGAGGCAAAACTATGAAGACAGTAAAAAGATCAGTGGTTGCTAGGGGTTTGGGGAAGGGAAGGATAAATATGCAGAGCACAGAGGATTTTTAGGGCAGTGAAACCACCTTCTTTGATACTATAATGGTGGATACATGTTGTTATACATTTGTCAAAATCCACACAACTACAACCCTAAGAGTGACATCCAATGTAAACTATGGACTTTGGGTGATAATGACGTGTCCATGTAAGTTTACCGATCATGACAGGTGCGCCACTCTGGTGGGGAATGATGTGCATGTGGGCTGGGGGGACAGGGGGCATATGAGAAATCTGGGCACTTTCTGCTCAGTTTGGCTGTGAACCTAAAACTGCTCTAAAAAATAAAGTCTAGGGCGCCTGGGCAGCTCAGTTGGTTAAGCGACTGCCTTCGGCTCAGGTCATGATCCTGGCGTCCCGGGATCGAGTCCCGCATCGGGCTCCCTGCTCGGCAGGGAGTCTGCTTCTCCCTCTGACCCTTCCCCCTCTCATGTGCTCTCTCTCTCTCATTCTTTCTCTCAAATAAATAATCTTTAAAAAAAATAAAATAAAATAAAAAAATAAAAAATAAAGTATTTTTTTTTTAAATGCCTATGCACCTGATGGGGAGAGAGGTTCTGGAAGAGGTGACGACAGAATCAACAAGCCAAAACCCACCCAACAGCAGAGCTGAAAGATCTCTTTGAGGAAAATATCTTGGACATTTAACCCAGCAGCACCGCTTTTTCCAGGCAGTTCTCTCTGAGGAACCTAGTTAGCTGGTTAAGTCTTGGAAAATTTTCACTTGCAGAAAATGTAACTGAGCCAGGTACCCTGCAGTGTAATCACAAGCTGTAACATCTGTGGGGGCAGGGAGCTCCTTTCCTACTTATCCATTTGTTTGGACATCTGTGAGCACTCAAGAGCAGGGAGAAAGTTAAAAAATAAAAATAAAAGTCACAGGAAGATAATACATCATAGAGAACGTTCCATTACCTTACTTTTTTTTCCCCAATTTTAGAAGCAGTCCAATCTTGCCTCAGCTCATAGGGGTATAATTTGAGAACTCTTGGTCTAATCCAACCCTCTCATTTTACACATAAAGAGTCATAAAGACCCTGATTTAAATTGATCCTCATCTCTGGGTCTCAAGGTCTTCATCTTCCAGCTCTGAAGTCCTAAGACTTCCATTTGTTTTTTCACTGCTACTTAAGATGAATAGCTGGTTTCTTTACAAGAAATAATATGGGAGGGTGGGCTGGCATATTCAAATACGGTACACTCTCTCATACTTAGTTCTGTAACTTCAAATAGGACACTTTCTGTGTCTTCAGTTTGTAAAGGAATCCAAAAAACCAACCCACAGACCACAAACCGTTCTTCCCCTGATCTCACATTCCAGAGCTTTACCTTTTACAGAAAACCCCTGCCATTTGCAAGGGATGTTCTCAAACCTATAATTTCCCCCAACAAAATGTGATTAACTATAACATCAAAAAACTACTGACCATGTAACCAGGGGAAGCAACAGGGTTCTGCTGAGATGAAGGTTCTGGGTAGCTGGCTCAGCCCGTAGCCAGCTCAAGGACTTTGTTCCACATATACCAGCTCCAAAAGCAGGATTCAAAAAAAAAAAAAAAAAAAAAAAAAATGGTGCCACAGAAAAATTATCAATGACATCATGGGCCTTCAGTCTCTTGCAAACTATTGAAACTGTGAATGTTAAATCCACGATGCTTTCACTTCCCTTATCTCGGCTCTACCACTTACTTACATAAATCTAGACAAGTTCCTTACCTCTTTGAGCCTCTATTCACACAGCTGAAAAATGGTGGCAGAACAGCACCTACCTTCTTGGGCTGCTGTGTTGATGAGATGAGCAGTACATATAGAAAGCTGAGAACGGTGTCTGACACACAGTGAGTGCTCAGGAAATATCAGTTACTAACCCATTTGAGCCTCATGCCTCAGAGGTATTTTAGTTCCCATGGTTTGGCAGATGAGGCATCTGTCGTGTCATAGAAAGAACATCAACCTTGGAACCTGAGGATCTACGTTTAGGCTCCGGTTCTTACTGACTGAGCTCTGCAAGCCACCTGAGTTTGGGGGCCTTAGTTTAATCTACACAATGAGGATGATGATGCTACGTCTGTCCACCCAGATTTCTGCTATAAGCACCCAAAGATTTCATCACATGTGAATCATAATACAAATCATCCACACTATGAATACGGTCCCAGGAGGCAATCTGGGCAGTGGTTCTGAACGTGGTCTTCAGCATCAGGCTGCCTGAACATGCTCTATTGTCTGGGGCTGTGTGACCTCAAGCCGACCACCTAGCTATCCTCTGCCTCAGTTTCCTCATCGGTAAAATCAGGGTAACAGTACCAATCTCATTAAACCTTTGACAGGATTAGATGAGTTAATACATGGAAAGCACTGAGAACAGTATCAGGTACGCAGCAGTGCTCAGTAAATGTCAGCCGGTCAATAACAACAACAATCACGATTATTACCACTGCGGTTTCAGCAATCATTAAGCTAATCACAGCCCCGCTGCCCTGCCTGACCCACTCCTTGGAGGACAGACTGTTCGCCTCACCCTCTGGCCTGCAGCCCGGACTTCTCGGTGCCAATCCTCCACCAGGGCCACTGCCTCCTCGCCACTCTCAGGGTGGCGTGCCTGCACCCAGGCCTGGACCTCCCTGGGTAAGATAGTCAGGAACTGCTCCAGCACCAGCAGCTCCAGGATCTGCTCTTTGAGGCGGATCTCCGGCCGCAGCCAGTGACAGCAGAGCGCCCAGAGCTGGCTGAAGGCTTCATGGGGTCCCGCCGCATCCCTGTACCGGAACTGCCTGAAGCGCTGGCGGGAGGCCTCGGGGCCAGGGACGGGGTCACGGTCCTCCTCCCGGAGTCTGGATTCTGATCTCCAAGAGTCCCCCTCCAATTTCACAATCAGGAGTTCTTCAGGCTCCGGTCGGGGAGAGGCCTCGGTCTGGGGTTCTAGGGCCACGGCCATGGTTGGTGCTGGATACCTCGCTTCAGCTGGACTGTTCTTGTTTAACGTCTTCCTGCATCTAAGGCGTGTCCTTCAAGGGGCTCCTAGGAGAGGCAATGCTCCCTAAGGCTCTGAAGGCAGAGAGACAAAGGACAGTGTAAGAGGACCCCCGTACCTTCCACTGCCTTTGCCTGCGGCGGGGGTGCTAAGAGAGGAATATGCATAAGCGGGGACCCAAGCCAGCAGCCAGCAAGCCTTGGAGGACAGCACAGTATGAAGTCCTCTGGGATGTGCCAGAACACTGTATTCTGGCATCAAAGCCTTCATCATTAAGCATGCCTGCCTTCCTCTACGCATGCCCAAAGTCTGACCTTTCCTCAAGGTGGGTTCCAAATGTCACCCCCTTCATAAGGCCTTTTTTCCCAGACCTTCAACTCTCCCCTAAAGGTGCTCTCCTCACAAAATCCTCTCAATCCACACTCCCTCTTGGCCAACCCATCCATTTGGCATTTTTCACCATCTCAAAACTGATGACTCCCAAAACTCCCGCCAGGACCTGCCACCACACCTCCAGACCCCAAATCCAACCATCTACAGGACATTTCCACTTGACTGTCTACTAGGCACCTCAAACTCAGTGGGCCACAAACTAAATTCATCTTTTTCTCCCACAAACCTGTCCTTCTGGAGCTCTCGACCTCGCCAAGGCACCACCTTCTTTTTTTTCTTTTAAGATTTTCTTTGTTTATTTGAGAGAGAGAGAACACACAAGCAGGGGGGGAAGGGGAGAGAGAGGAGAAGCAGGCTCCCCACTGAGCAGGGAGCCCGATGAGGGGCTCGATCCCAGGACCCTAGGATCATGACCTGGACCAAAGACAGACATCCAACCAACTGAGCCACCCAGGCATCCCAAGGCACCACCTTCTATCAAGTTACCCACACCAGAAACCTGGTCATCATCTCTCTCCAACATCCCCCACATCCAATTCATTACCAAGCTGTGCCCTCCTGGCCTTCTAGGAATCTATACCCCCAATGCCACTACTTCGAGCCAGTGAGTAGCCATGCTTTTCACTGCATCAGCCTTCTAACTCATGTCCCTGCCTGCTCTCCCCTCACCCCAACCCGAGGTTCTTCACACAACAACCAGACTAGCTCCAAGTCTGACCAGGTCACTTCCTGCTAAATACCCTTGGGTGACCTCCCACATCCCTCAGGATCAAGTGCAAACCTTGCCTACGTCCCCACCTCATCTCTTTGCCACACTCCCGCTGGTCAGGGCGTTCCAGCCGCAGACCTCTGAACCCTCCCACGGGCTGTCAGCAGTCTCCTTTGGGAAGTGTTCTCCCTTTCTTCACCAAGCTAGGTCTCAGCTTCAATTATACTTTTTCCAAGAGGCCCTCCCTGTGCCCTGAAACAAGATTCAGTCCTTCCTGTGCCACCACCTTCTACACCACCTACATTTGCTCCGTTGTTCTCTTACCCACGAGATCATAAGCTTCCTAGCACAGTGCTCAGCACACGCAGGAAGTGCTCAATAAACAGACAATGGTCAACTCACGATGGTGACGTGTCATGAAGCAAGAGTTAAAATTAATCCCCTGCTGCACACACTAGATTTTTTTTTTAATGACCTTCTTGCTCATGCCAGAAGGAATTCTCTTCTCTTTATTTCCATCAATGTCACACAGGACACATTCTATGTTGTGTTACAGGGGTGTGTGTGTGGCCCCACAC